TTAACGCTCGGTAGGGTGCAGTTTCTCAGCGTCTGCTGCTGACCTTCCAAGAACTTTGCCTTGAGTTGTCTTCAGCAATGCTGAATGTAAGCTGGTTAAGTAAACACTTTGCTGGGCCCTGCAAGTCTTGGTTTGTTTGAATGTACCTGCTTGCTTTTTCTGGGAGGTTTTTAATTGAAATGTAACTTACGTAAAACTTGGTAGGTTAAATCTGTCAGAAATGAGGCGCTGAAGCAAGGCTCTTCAATTCACATGTAGGCAAGCTGTCTGCCCCCTCGTCCCGCACAGACCTAGGTGGGAGTTGGCATTGATGCTGGGGATGTGGGCAGAGGGCTCCCAAAGATACCATCTCAGGTCAGTGCTGGATTTTGGCTCTGTGTAGTCAAGTCAACAGATTTGACTTTGTTTCCTAATAGTGATTTCTGCTGTAACCTCCTTTTGGCTCGTTGTGTTTAGTGGGTCTTGGTTTGTGTGTGTGGAGCGCTTTGGGGGATTTCGGATATATTTTAAACAAGCTGAAAACTGAGGAAGAACCTATCTGTCTGCAAGCACCCCATAACTTGCTGGAGACACATAGCCCAAATTTGGTTGCAGCTGAATGCAAAAGCTGCCTTGACCAGGTCGTAGAAATCCAAATCTCTCAAACTGTGTTTGTGGCTCCAGTGGCATGTCTGTAGTCAGGCAAAGACATGCAGTGCCTTTTTGTGACCTATTTGTTACTAAAGGGCAAAGTGTACTTCACAGCATGTTGGGGCATGCAGCGTGTGCCTGGTGTGGGCATCAAGGCTTGAACTGCATAGGAGTTTCTGCTAAGAAACTTGTGCGTTTTTGATTACATGCACTTAACTTGGCAGGCTTTCTACTTCTACCCGAGTTCAAACTGCTTGGATTTGAGCCATCTGAATGAATGGAGCCTCCTTTCTGCTGTTTGTGCTGTTTGTGGCTGTAGTGGCCACCAGCTGTGTAACTGGAAGGGCACCAGTATCTGTCAGAGGCATTTGTATAACCATGTGTGTCTTGGGCATCTTAGGGCATCAGGAGTGGAAGAGCTGACTCCCGTACACAGAGGTTCTTGTCCTGCCATTGAGTCTCTGAAGAGGGGTTGGAGGGTGGTGGTGTTGGTGCTATCAGTGGACTAGCTCTCACCTGACACCATTACAGACTGCAGCAGCATCCTCTCTCTCCCCATTGCCTTTCCCTTTGCTGAAGCAGATGGGAACTTGCTTGGGCTGGCAGCTGCAGTGTCAGTCTCATTCACATCACTGCAGTGACTGGTTTAATGTGAAGGCTGTAAGATGCTGTTGATGTTGGTATGTATTTAGAAACTCAGTCCTTGGTCTCAACTTTCCTTTTCCTGGGAGATCATTCAGGTACCAATGGTAAAAGCTTGACTGCCTCAAAGACAGTGGGAGTTCTAACATGGGCTTCAGCAGGGCCACAGTTTGGTCTGTTGCCAGTGAATCTCTCTCATCTCTGTGTCTCAGTGCTGCTCTCCCAGCTTTGCACTTGCACCAAGGTCCATGTAGCTTGAAGATAATTTATTTGCTTCACTTTTGTAAATGCAGTCACTAAATGTGCAGGGAAAATGTGGTTTGATCCTAGTTCCACTGACGGTGTGTGCTGTAGTGCTGCAAGGATGCCGGTTCCCTCAGCTGCTGTGGCTGAGGGTCAGGAGGAGCCTCTCTCATTTAGTTTACCTTTTGTATCCCATGAGCCTTGAAACTCTATCTTGTCCATGCATCTCCCAACATAGTGTTTCTCTGGGCAGGAGTCTCAAGTCATTGGGTCCCGTCAATGGAAGGAGTTGCAGCCTGCTACATCAGTGCTACTGCTGCCAGATCAGAGCTGTGATTCCCAGCAGCAGCTGAGTGTCAGCCCTCTGGGTAGCAATGCGAGCTAAGGCAGGCTGCAGCAAGCTTCCCTGGCATCTTTGTAACGGGGTTTGTTTTTCCTTCCTTTTCTTTGTTGTGCCCATATATGCGTGGATCCTGATCCTCAGTGTGCAGTGGAGCTCTTTATGTGTCTCCTGACACACCTGTCTTGGATTCCTGCTCCTTGTTAGGTGGTTAAAAAGAAGGAACAAGAACCATTTGGGAGAGAAGTCTACTTAAATAAATGTAGTAGGTTAGATGGGTTTTTGCTCTTTTGGTCATTCGGGTTTTACTTTCCTCTGAAGTGATGTTGGAGTCACAAGGTTTGGAGCAAGATACAAACTCTTTGAAAAGCTCATTGCATTCAAGTAACACCTTAATCCTGATTTTTGTCTCAGTACTGCCTATGCTGTAAGTAATTGTCACCTAACTGGTTAATTTAGTGGTTTTGTCCTCATTACACGCAGAGTTTGAGGTAGGCATACACCAAAAAATATCTTTTAAAAGTTAGTAAGCCTAAGACATTGCATGTATTTAATGAGGCCTGCTCCCAAGGTGCTAGGTAATTCACACCCAGTCTCTCTGAAGTTAATTATGTGCTAGTATACAAAGCCTAAATCCTTATAAAGTAGGTTCCTTACAGATGATACTATGAACTTATTAAACCTTGTGATGCATCATCAGTCTTGTTGGTGTCGGTGAGAGTGAAGGGCTCTGAGCACTCTGGAGGACTAGGCACATCTTAAGAATTCATTATGAAAAGGCATTTTTAATTATCTTGCTGTGCCTTTCCACCACAAGAGTTGAAAAATACAGCAGACAGTATTCTCTGAGGCTGCACGCAATAAAGCGTGTTAGTTACTTACATTCAGACTTCATTTTATTCAGGGCATACTGGTGTTTATATTGGTGGTAGATTCCAGTATTAATATTTGACCTGCTTTTATGCAAAGCTGGACTACCCTGGCAGTCTGCTGTGTTGTCGGTCACCATTATGTGGGAACAGGGCTCTGATAAACTTTGAGCACCATATTGCGACTATTCTTCCTCTAGCCTTCCCTCAGCAGAGTGACTTCACATAAGATTGAACAGCTGTTTTTCTAGCCTCTTAAATAAATATTTTTTGGCATGTTCAGTAGGTCACTATGGATAATGGGCTTTTCCATTTGGCAGCCAGACTGGAAAGGTAGGGAAAGGGGAAGCAGCGAGGAAGGTAAGGACTCATTACTGTGGACTGTGCGTAGCCAGGGTGGTGGGGCTGCCCTCCGAGGGATGGATTCAAGCAAAGGCAACCCCAAGCAAAGGTTCATCTCATGCTGCTCATGGTATGAATGTTGGTGGATACCCCTGACTTGGAGCTGCTGGAGAGCTTATGGATTCGAGAACCAGGCCTAAAACTGTTCTCTATGCAACTCCATCAGATAGAGCTCACAGGTGAGACTGCTTCCCCATCCCACTCCAGCAGGTGTGCTGCTCACAACACAGCGTGGTGGCAGGGTTCAGGATTTATCCGTCTTTGTGTATAGGCTCAGCTTCTTGGCTGTTGTAAATCTGGTGATGCTGGAAATGGATGGCTGCTAAATCCCATCCCATCTCTGCACAGGGGAGATGCTGGTCACCTTCAGCAGTCCTTGTGGGAGGCTCCTGTCAGTTTGGAAGCCCTCTTGGGAGCTGGAGGGAGACATGGTGTCTACAGTGTTTCCTAACCCCACTCCTCCTGGCCCTTAGTCTCCACAGCTGCTTTTCAGGAGTTCACATTACCAGTACTTTATCTTCTTTCCTATGATATCTTCTTTGCTATGATGATGCTGCTCCCACAGGGTTTTAAACAGCCAGAGCGATGTGATTCAAGTGAAGATGGAGGCAGAGAGCTGTGCTATCCTGTAGTGATGGATGGCACGGCACCATCGCCAATAGGGACCCTGAAACGCAGCTCATGCTTCCAGCTACAAACTGAGCCCCATGAACTTTCTTAGTTTTGGTGTTTCCTTGCAGAAGCAAAATTTCCCTTTTCCTCACGCACAGGAAAGGCAGATGAGGGCTTGCCCCTGCCCTATAGCAAAGAGTTGATGAATCATTTCCTTCTCCATATTTCAGTAAAATTGTGCTGTTCAGAGCTCATGTAGGGTGCGTTAATGTTTTGAGCACTTGCGCTCTTCTCTTTGCTCTCTTCCTGCAATTGTCCAAAGGCTGGATTTTTTGTCTCCATCGCAACAATTGTGCTATTTGCTTGGCAGTGTTAGCAGATGGGTTTGCCTCTATCAGTGCAAATTAGGGGTTTTTATGCATTTTCTAGTCAGCCTTTTAATATTAGCAATATTTTTTTATTATTGTGTGTTGATGTTCATCAGTCCAGTTTTAAAACATGAATGTATATTTCTAATAGAGTGATCTTCTACACAAAGGAAACCAGGACACTGCTACTTTTACCTTTAGATCTTGGAGATCTTGTTTGGAATGTTGAATATAAAGCTAGCATTGTATTTAAGAACATATATAGTTCAGAGTTTTGAGTAACAGGCTCTTATTAAAGCTGGTCTTTCTACATGGTGAACTACTGCTTTGTGTGCCTGGCTGTTTGACAGAGACATTGGTATGTCAGAGAGATGTGTTGCTCCTAATTAGATGGAGCTGGATGCATTGTCAGAGGCCCTAGTTTTGATTTAAATACTGGCTGCAGTGGGGGTACTTCAGTATAGAAAATGGGGGTTGGCTTGCCTTGTATGTAATGCTGTTGGGTTGGCAAAATAAGGAGATGAAGGTACAGTGCGTTTTATTGTCTAGGCAGCTGAAGAGACCCGGGATGAGGTGTTTTTTCAGCATTCATATATTGTAGTCTACACAATAAGCTGAACTAAGTTCCAGTCTATAAACCCAAGGAACAAGGAAAAATTCCTTAGAGTTTGTTTGAGGGTCCTGATTACATGAGTATCTTGGAGAAGGAGGAGGAAAAAGAGGCAAAACCAGGGCACTGAAAGGAGGGAGCCTGGTACCCAGCTTTTATGGGCTATATATTACAACTCAGGACCAGCTTTGTAGCTGGTCAGCAAGCTACTTGTGTTGTGAAATGCTTAACTAGAAGCAGAGGTTTTTTTCCCAAAGCTCCTCTTTCCTAAAGCTGATCTGTATCTGCCCTCATTGTTATCTGTTGTGTTCACACGCGGTGGTTTTTTTCTTTTGTTAGCCTGCTTTCCTTCCTCGTTTTTAAAGAATAGCTTATCTGCATGCCCCAGAAGGGTGTGCCTCACAAAGATCACAAGCTTTTCACAGTGAGCTGCCGCCAGCCTGCTGACTACCAGAAAACATGCTGAGCTCTTCAAAATCGGTGCCACATCGCCTTTGAAAAGGTGGGGATTGCACTGAGATGCGCACTGGTGCGACTTGCCTGGATCTGGAGCGTCCATTTCCACTGCTGACAGGCAAGTGCTCCTAGCTCCTACAGCATCAACTCATCTTGGAGAGTTACTCCTTTTGTGTTTCAGAGCTCTTAATCTCTGGTGCCCTATGGAGGGCAGGAGCAGTAGGACACGGGTGTTTCTGGACATGCCAGTCGCATGTACACGGTGATCAGAGTTCAAGTTTTGGAGTCAGAAGATGAGCCTTCAGCCTATCTGTGCTGTGATGTAGATGACCTGGGAATGGGCACATAATGCCTCGTTACTCTTTGCCTGCCTCCTCATGTACATTAACTGCATACCTGCGTATTTCATTGGGTTACTGCAAAGCCAGTAGGAGATTGAATTCATTCTGTTGAAGTACAAACCTCATATTACTGAGGCCCCAGCAGCAGAGGAGAGGGAAGGCACCCTCTTTTTTCAGGAACCTTTGCGATGGACGACGGAGCAGACTCTCTGACAGTGCATCTCCTCGCCAATTCAGGACATTCATTGCTTCTGCAGCAAACTTTGGATCGGCTTTTAGAATGGATCTGCCTGGACATTCGCCTTTTCTTTGTGTCTGAGAGGGTTACTCCACTGAAATACTATGAGAGATATTGCAAGAGAAGCTGTGGCTTTCCTGGAATATCTGTTCTTCTTTTTCTACATGAGGGATTGGGAGAAGAACGGATTTTCCAGGTCCATGAGCAATTCCAGCGTCCACCCTGGCGCTACTGCTGTGCCCAGATTGCTAATGGGCAAAGCTACCCCTATTCCCTCACTCACCAGGACTTCTATAGCCTGGATGACCAGATGCCTGTGTGGGGCACCAGGCGGGTGCGCTGTGGCCCTGAAATCCTGCGTGTCACCCTCTACTGCAGTTTTGACAACTACGAGGACGCAGTGAGACTCTATGAGATGATCCTACAGAAAGAAGCAACCATGCTGAAAAGTAACTTCTGTGTCTTTGTGTTGCATGCAACCCACACTATTGTTGTGCAGCTCTGCTTGAAGCAGCTGCCCATCGGGGTGGCTGCTGAGCCGAAGGAGTCATCAGCCTTGCAGTTCAAGGTGCAAGAAATAGGGCAGCTGGTGCCTCTGCTGCCTAACCCATGTATTCCCATCAGTAGCACCAGATGGCAAACGCAAGACTACGAAGGAAATACAATTCTGCTTCAGGTATGTGTCTGTGGTGCTCTGAGAGGAGGTTTTTGCACAGATCATTGGAATGTTTTTATATTGTTAAATTCACATCATTGCTGCTTGTCTGACATTGAATGTATTAATGCTTTTTTGAGCAGGATAGTTTAATGTCTTCCCTTCCCTGCTTGAATTAAACGAACATAGCAGCCTATTCTTTTCCTGTAAGTCATTATGTTCTAAATGGTTTCGAAAGCAGATTTTTGACATCCAAAACCAGATGTACTGTAAGTATAGTGGTTGACGCAGCATTACATGCAATGGAGTTTGTGATCTTTTGAGTGAGTCACTGTTGGGCAAAAGTGGCAGAGAAATGTCATAGGAAACCTCTGCCTTGTCTGTTCAAGTGTGTGGTCCTGATGTTTGTGAATACAAATAAGTAAAAACTGATGAGACTGTGCAGAGATGATACACAGTGGGAATTATGTATGTGAGCAGGGGGGCCAGTTTGGGTCAGTGTGTTCTTCCATTCAAACAACCCCTCCCATCTCTGGTTGGTTTTTCTTGTACTTTGGGTGTTTAAATGATTTGCCCACCCTCTGTTATTTCTTTTCCCTTCCAGAGCTCATTTGTAACAAATCAAGTTAATTATTCTGCACAGCCTATTTCCATGCTACTCTGAACACTAATCCTCAGGGCTGCCTTTGCATACTGCTCATTCAGTATCACTTTATAAACTGTTTTGCCACCCGCTTGGATTGCACAAGGCCCTGAGCACCTTCATGTCACTTTGAAGTTGGTCCTGCTGGAGCAGGGGACTGGCTCCAGGGACTCCAAAGGTCCCTTCCCAAATTACTCTGTGGTTATTCCTGCTGTGGACACAATGTCGTCAAATTACAGACATACATGAATTCACTGGCAGGAAACTTGGAAGCTTTTTTGAGGGGTGTAGCTGTGCTGCACTGTGCTCATGGTGAAGGAAGCTGGAGCCCACTTGAACTGAGGGATGTGTAACTCATGTCCCTGCTCTACTCAGCATGCTGATAGCCTAGCACATGGCACTTCATTCTTAAGTTCTTCAGTTAATGCTGTAAATCTTAACTCTAAGTACCTGAAAATTATTTACGCATGCCCCCTGCACACTTTCTGCCTTATTGCAAACCCAATCCAAGGGTCTGCTTGTGAATGCCACCCACAGGGAGTTATCATTCCCCCTGAGCCTACAGGAAGTCTTGGTTTTATTGATGACATTTAACCCAGGCCACCTAGTTTGATAAAGAAGCAAATAAACCACATCCTCTCCCTTTTTTTTTGCTGAAGTTTCTCACTAATGACTGTTTAATTTTCCCCCAGGCTTAAAATTCCCATCATACACAATTGTTCCTTTGCTGTACTTGCAGTTATCCTTGTTTTCCATTTCTGAGCATTTCCAGATCCATGACACTCTGTTGTCTGCTGCAGGTGAGGGACAGGCACCATGGTCCAGCTTTGGAACTAGAGCTGCACTGAGCATAGCAATGTTTTCCATTTTGTTTGGAATAATCTTTGAGGTTTCATTTGTTTTCCAGACTGCTGTCAGGCATGAACTGATGCTAACATGGTGCTGTCTGTAACAGAAATGAGACCCCGAGTTAGTCAGCTTGCAACCTGGCACTTTGTATGTGAAGCGGGGATTGTTTTTCCTCCATGTGCATCACTTTGTCTGCATTAAGCTTCATCTGCCATCACCCAGGCTTGTAGGACTCCTATGCTGTTCTCTAGCGGGGCTCTGATTCACACTGCAGGTGATTTCAGCGCTTGGTTAAGCTAGAATGATATGTTAATGGAGTTCTCTCCGAACTTCCTTCAACAGGTTCAGGAGAGCTCCAAGCCCCATGAAACAAGTGTTGGGCTTTCCCGTCGGCATGATAATGCAGGCAGCGACGAAACCCTGCAAGACTCTGTCACGGCTCAGCTCCCTGTCAAGCGGGGCCACCCTGGGGGACGAAGCCAGGAGGTAAGAACCGCAAAGGGCAAAACAAAACCCGACCAGAGCAAAGCTCTCGCTCCTGATCCCACCAGCGGTGACCTTCGCACGCGCTTCTGCTCTTCCCTCGGTGGTGCAGCAGCCTGGCCGTGGTGGGAAGCCACGTCCCTGCGCAGGCAGGGGAGCAGCAAGCTGCAGGCCTCTCTGCAGCAGGGCCGTGCGCCCCGGCAGGCAGCCGAGACCAACGTGGACACCGGGCTGGCCGTGAGCACCGCTGCGAGCTGCGGCGCACTGAGCCGCTTCCATAGGGACCTGCGGAGCAGCCTGCTCCAGCCGCGACCCGGGGCTGGCAGCACCCTGCCCTCTCGAGGCTGCGCTTGGCGGCTCCAGGCTGCAGACGGATGGGACAAAAACACAGGGCAAAGAGTGTGGAGCTGCCGCTCGCAGACACAACGCACCAGTCCTGACAACAGAGTGGAGGATGATGAGGAGGAGTTCTTCATATGACTGAAAACAACCGTGCCACGTGGGGCTCATCGCTTCCAAATGACAGCGGAGCACGTGTGTGCGTGTGTTGTGCCTGCTTGTGCTGTGACCGTTGATGCTCAGCTTACCTCTGAAACCGTGACTACATTTCAGTAGTGGGTTCACTGAAGTATATGCTTACTTTCCATTGAGTGATGCTGAAAAGGCTGCAGGCAAAGCAGGAACTGTAACACTGTCTTTACAAAAAGGTTTGGCTTTTTAATGCAGAATAGATTGGAGGATTTTTGTGCAATGAGTAGGAATAAGCCATATGACTCTATTCCAAGATGCTAAAGATAGCCAGTGACATCTTCTGATGGGGTTAGTGCAGTTTGTCTAAGCTGCCCAAGCAACTGGATGCCCTCAGGGGGGGGCTCATCATCCCTGCCTGACATATTGGAAACAAGGTAGTTGTGTTGTCACAGTGGTTACATCAATTTTCTCTGTGTCCCTTCTCACTTCCTCTGTTCATGGTATTTAAAAGAATGTTGTAAATTTTATGCAAAATGTGAAACGTAAGGATGTTCTTTTAAAATATTTTTGAAGAAAAAGCAGTCCTAGAGAGAGCTTTTCCCCCAGTTAGCACAGTGCACACAAAAAGCAAACCCTTGCAGAGCACAGTTTGAGCTCCAGGAAGACCTGTGGCTACCTATTCATGACACTCACCAAAATAAACTCAGCAACAGGCTGGGCTCTGTTAGACCAGTGTGAGTTATCAGCAGGCAATCCTACTTGTGTTTTAATTAACAGAAGACAACAGAAGCTAATAGTCTTGGCTGAATGCTGGAGAGTAAAAAGGGTACAAGAAGTGAAGTAATGTTTCAGCAACAGATGACAAAATAACTCCCATCTTGATCAGCACTTCCTTTTCTCAGGTGGAATTAAGTAAATCTCAAAGGGAAAGAGATGGGAAAGGTATGACAGAGGAATGAAATTATAAAGAGAAAAGCCAAATCTGCTCATACTTACCTTCCAAGCAGCACAGCAAAGAGGTGTTTTCTCCTTCAATGTCTGAATTCTGCTTTACATGAAAGTGTGAATTTATTGGAGAGTTCCTTCTCTTTGCCTCTTCTTTGTTCATAACTCAAGTTTGACAGGCAATGGCTTCTAGTGGCCCAAGGGGAGGCAGGATATGATGTGCAGCAGCAGGAGTTCTGCAGGGGAGTTCTGCACACTTTTATGGGTATTAACTTGTACGTGTGCCAGCTGAACACAGCCCACACTGTGCTGCTGCAGCTTCAGTACCCAAGAACATCCAAACCCACCCCTCTGCTGCTGGTGGGCTCTGCAGACCGGCGGGACTGGAGCGTGGTGCTGCTGGTGTGTGTTAGCTTGGCCTTTGGGAATGTTCTGGGGAAGTCTGGAAGTGCAGCTGAGTTGTTCTGAAGAGCTGTGGGTGGGAATAGGCCAGTCCCTGGAAGCACTCCTCATGTACCCTTCAGTGCAGGGAGCACACCCTGCAGAGCGCTGAACAGGACACTTATTTCATGGACATCTACAACCATGTTTCCGTAAGCTCTGTAAAAATTCTGGACTTTTTAATAAATCATTCTGTGATTCTTTAAATCTCTGAAGGTGATGATTTAATCTTACCTAGCGTGCTAGGAACAGCCAGTGCTTTTCAGAGCCAGAGAACGTGTTTGGTTAACTATGAAAGCAGCAAACAGGAGAGCTTGCAAGTGTGTTGGCTCTCTGGGTTCACTGCAGTGTGTGTGAGGGTGGGCTGGGAGGGATAAGGAGAGAGGAGGAGGATAGGGGTAGGGCAGCAATCTATACAGTGAGCATAGATAGGATAGTCATGAACCCAGGAGAAAAAACAAAAGTGAGATTCCTGGAGAAGCAGCTTTACAGAGAGATTTCATGGCCTTCTCTCTACTCAATCATGACAAAGGCACTTAAGTGTGAGCCTAATCTCATTTTCCCTACGAGGGTGCTTAAAAGGTAGAAGGTCAGTATCCAGCATGGGGGAAATGCTCTATCATGTAAAACAAAACCAGAAGAAAATGAGACACAGGATTTGGAGAAGGCTGAGGTTCTGAATGACTTCTTTGCCTCAGTCTTCACTGGCAAAGGCTCTGACCAAACTGCCCAAGTCTTGGAAGGCAGATGCAGGGACTGTGAGAATGAAGACCTTGGGCCCACTGTAGGAGAGGATCAGGTTCGAGACCATCTTAAAAACCTGAACATGCACAAGTCCATGGGACCTGATGAGATCCATCCGTGGGTCCTGAAGGAGCTGGTGAATGAGGTTGCTAAGCCGCTGGCCATCATATTTGAGAAATCATGGAAGTCAGGTGAGGTTCCTGACGCCTGGGAAAAGGGAAATATAACCCCCATTTTCAAGAAGGGGAAAATGGATGACCTGGGGAATTACAGACCAGTCAGTCTCACCTCTGTGCCTGGCAAAATCTTGGAGCAGGTTCTCCTGGAAGGCATGCTAAGGCACATGAAAATCAACAAGGTGCTTGGTGACAGCCAGCATGGCTTCACTAAGGGGAAATCCTGCCTGGCCAATTTGGTGGCCTTCTATGATGGGGCTACAGAACTGATGGACAGGGGTAGAGCAGTTGATGTCAGCTACCTGGACTTGTGCAAAGCGTTTGACACTGTCCCACACTCTATCCTTGTCTCTAAATTGGAGAGGCATCAATTTGATGGATGGACCACTTGGTGGATAAAGAACTGGCTGGATGGCCGCACACAAAGAGTTGTGGTCAATGGCTCAATGTCCAGCTGGAGACCAGTAACGAGTGGTGTCCCTCAGGGATCGGTGTTGGGACCGGTCTTGTTTAACATCTTCGTTGCTGACATGGACAGTGGGATTGAGTGCGCCCTCAGCAAGTTTGCCAATGACACCAAGCTGTGTGGTTTGGTTGATACGCTGGAGGGAAGGAATGCCATCCAGAGGGACCTTGACACGCTTGTGAGGTGGGCTGATGCCAACCTCATGAGGTTTAACCATGACAAGTACAAGGTCCTACACCTGGGTTGGAGCAATCCCAGGCACAGCTACAGGTTGGGCAGAGAAGAGATTCAGAGCAGCCCTGCGGAGAAGGACTTGGGGGTGCTGGTTGATGAGAAAATGAACATGAGCTGGCTTCAGTGTGCACTCACAGCCCAGAAAGCCAACCGTATCCTGGGCTGCATCAAAAGGAGTGTGACCTGCAGGTCGAAGGAGGTGATTCTGTCCCTCTGTTCTGCTCTTGTGAGACCTCACCTGGAGTATTGTGTGCAGTTCTGGTGTCCTCAACATAAAAAGGACATGGAACTGTTGGAACAAGTCCAGAGGAGGGCACGAGGATGATCAGGGGACTGGAGCACCTCCCATATGAAGACAGGCTGAGAAAGTTGGGGCTGTTCAGCCTGGAGAAGAGAAGGCTGCATGGAGACCTCATAGCAGCTTTCCAGTATCTGAAGGGGGCCTATATGGATGCTGGGGAGGGACTCTTCATTAGGGACTGTAGCGACAGGACAAGGGGTAATGGGTTAAAACTGAAACAGGGGAAGTTTAGATTGGATATAAGAGGGAAATTCTTTCCTGTTAGGGTAGTGAGGCACTGGAATGGGCTGCCCAGGGAGGTTGTGAATGCTCCATCCCTGGCAGTGTTCAAGACCAGGTCGGACGAGGCCTTGGTTGATATGGTTTAGTGTGAGGTGTCCCTGCCTATGGCAGGGGGTTGGAACTAGATGATCTTAAGGTCCTTTCCAACCCTAACTATTCTATGATTCTACATGAGGTTCATCTGCCTGCAGTGGATCACAGAAGAGAAGGACTTCAAGTCAAAGAAAAACTGCTCTGAAAATACTGCTTGTAATTGGTATACAAAATCCATGTATTTTAAGTGCAGGATAAAGGTAGCACAAATGCCATATTACACAGGCAGCTGATAAGAGGGCACAGTTTCTCCCTGAATGGACTCAGCACTTGAAGGCAAAGATTCACATTATCCATAGACAGTTCATATCTCTGCCACCTTTATTTTACATTTCTTCCTTGCACACTGTGCCGTTTCTTTCACGTTTCATATAAAGGCTAATGAGAGTGCAGGTTGGCAGGCGTCTACTGGAGCTCTGTGTTCCAAAGAACATGTGAGGAGGTCACAGGTAAGCAATCAGATCCCACAGCCTCTTGGGAAGGGGCAGAGGTGTGAGGTGTGCAGGGTTGGCAAGGCTTGGCAGCAGGCTGAGCTGGGGGCTGCCTGTCCCATGTGCTCATCCCAGCAAAGCATCCGGGGAACAAGGCCTTGGTGGAAAACTGAAGAGGGAGTTTTGAAGTTATGCTTAGGGATAAGATGGCATTGCAACCCTGAATGGAAGAAAATGAGGTGTGTGGGGGATGTTCTTTTTTACCATTTGTATGTGTTGTGCTTGATATAAATGATTTAGTCTGGTAAAATGCTTCTGATGTAGTTGTGGCCATCAGGGGACACAGCACTGCACCAGCTACTAGGAGAAAACTGACTGCTACTGCTGAACCCAGCACAAGGGGTGATGGTGCTGTGGATACTGAGTTGCTGACTCCTCTCATGGACACCTTGACAGACAGCAGCCAAGGGTGGTCAGTGTGGGGTGGTAGGTGATCCTGCTAACCAGGATTTTAAGATGTGCCCTTTTTGGGGGTGGTGGGCATCATGCGTTGTGCCGGTCTGTCTGTCAGGAGATGTTGCATCCGGGAGCAAGAGCATGACCCTGGGTCTCCTGAAAGCTGTGCTGTTGGGTGACCCTGTTCCTAGGAGAGAGCAGGGATGTTGCCGTGTTGCTCTTCTGACAACCAATAATGGTGAACAATTCCAGGCTAAAGGGAACAGCTTTTCTCCTAGGCCAGTTGCACAGTCTGGGTGATGGAGTAGGGAAATCTCTCTTTGCAGGAGCAGGAAGCGTGCTGAGAGTGGGAGCCGCTTGCAGCCAGTCAGGTGAAGTTGGAGAGCTTGTTCTGGAATCACCACAACCCAGAGGCAGCTGCTGTTGCTTTTGTTGTTTTAGCCCCTGGCTGCAGGAATGGTCTTTTGTCTCCTTTGAAGCAGCACAGTGGTATTCCTGAGGAGATCGGGAGGAGCGGGAGTGCTCCCCAGTGCAGCCCACTCCCTGTGCCTGGCAGGGTACTGGCGGGCACCCAGGCAACCCTGACCTTGGCAGGCGGCTGCTGGCATCGGTAGTGATGCCGCAGGCTTGGCCTCTCCAGCTAAGGAGAAATTGGCAAACTTGATTCTTTCGGGGAAGCAAGTGCGCTCTTCTTTCGTGGGTTTTAGGCCAAGTTCAGCTTTCGTCAATGCCTGGGTAAACCCTGATGTGGTACAGCGAGCACAGCCGAGCTTTCCAGAGTTACACTGGCAGGTCTGGGAGGGGGAGTTCCTATTCTCTCAGCTCGGGCAGGCTATTCTTCATCTGCATGGATGCTGTGCTCTGTGCCCAGGGCAAAGCTTCACGGCCACTTGGTGGAGGAAAAACATTGCACGTATCAGAAATCCTGTGTTTGTGATGGAATCACAAACCAGAAATGCTCTCTGTGAGCAGAAGAATGTGCAGCAGCTCCCCCTCCTCCTTGGGCTGCCCCATGGTGTGCTCCTGGCTCCTCCACACAGCACAGCCACAGCACTGGGTCTCTGTTGCCATAAATTGCATGGAAAGGGTGTGGGGTCACTGCCTGATGGGTCCCTCCATCCATCCAGTATGTGCTGTAAGCAGTAGTGTAAATTTTCCTCTATTGCTGCTCTGCTCTGCTTGGAGTCCAGCCAGGTGCCCCGTCCCCTCACCTCTTGGCATTTCTGGAGTTTTCAGATCCCATCCTTATTTTTTCCTCTTTTTTTTTTTTTTTCCTTATTTCCTTTTTTTTTTTCTCTCTCTTTCTCTCTCTCTCTCTCTCTCTCTCTCTCTCTCTTTCTCTCTCTCTCTCTCTCTCTCTCTCTCTCTCTCTCTCTCTCTCTCTCTCTCTCTCTCTCTCTCTTTCTCTCTCTCTCTCTCTCTCTCTCTCTCTCTCTCTCTCTCTTTTTCTCTTCTCTCTCTCTCTCTCTCTCTCTCTCTCTCTCTCTCTCTCTCTCTCTCTCTCTTC